ATGAAGACTGCATTTAAGCTTAGGGTCTATTTTCTTTTTTAGAAACAATAGTTAAAGGATTGTCCTGACAAAACTTCTTTATACTTATCTACAATTTATAGTTAAGTAAAACAAAGTATACTTCATTCCAATAGATACTTTTAATTTGTTTAATTTGATTAACAATGAACCTTTACTCTATAATCATTTTTGAGGATTAAGAGCTTCAATATTTTCAAATCAATATAAGTGATATAAATGTTTACATCAATACATCAATGTACATATAAATAATATTTCCTTCAATGAAAAACAATAATTTATAGCGATATTTAAAGATAAAATAAAACGATATTTGATTCATAACAAATATACTTTGATTGAGTGTAAACTTTAAAACTGTACTTATTTATAGTTAATAACAAAAAAGCAGAGTATGACGAATTATGATCAATTTCATAAAACTATAAACAATACAATGAAATATATGGACATAACGAACAGTGTTAAAGCTGAAAAGCCCAATAAACAATACAAAATAGCAGAGCAAACACGGACCTCCGAAACATCAGAGGTGGGATCAGGTGCCACGGAGAAGTGATAAAACATAAGGAGTGAGCAACCCCCCTGCCGACCGGTCACACCTGCCATGTGCTCCTTGTCATGATCAGGAAATAACGGAAAAACCCGTCGTTAATTCAGTGTGTAAATAATCGATTAAGTAAACATTAAGTATGAAAAACGGAAGTCAGCATTTGACTCAATGATAAATTGCATTTGGTGACAAGGTCATGGTATCGACTAAAGAACATACGAAATGATGACTTTAAACGAGACTGTTGATATTATTGTTTCATCAACTTGTTTGTCAATAATTTGCCTCGTTTTAGATATTGTGCATAGGTAGAGTATGCTCTTGCATATCGAATCAGCTGAGAGATATAAACTTCGTATGCAGGTGATGAAGGTATATTGCTGCATAAGTAAGGGAAGTTGAACATAAAACTAAATAACATTAAAATAACACAACTTAAGTTTATTGTATTTCTCTAGGGTGATGACACATACCTTTTAAAGGAACCAACCTCCTTACGTCTACCCTGATCCCCAGAGAGATTTGTGATTTTCAAGATAAATCCTCGTTAATGTTACAATAAATAATAATATTTTAATCAACGACAATAAAACATCTTAATAAACATGCTTAAACGAAATGGGAAAAAAATTATTTTACAAAGTTGCGACCAAATACAGACTTATTTACATGTTAAAGCACGTATTAAAATTTCACCAATTTATAAAACAAAGAAAAAAAAACATACCACGAAACAAATAAAAACTATTTCGAGTTGAATTAAGTCTATGCGGTTTACTAATGCATAAAATGATGTATGTATCGATTTTATCATCAAATAGATAAAGGTCGCCCAGTTATAAAATAGGATTTGGGTAGACGTTATTAGATGAACGATAGATTAGACATCCTCATTTATTTTGAATGAAATTAGCACCCTCCAAATGTACATAACACAATAACAACTGATTGAATTTCCCAATAAGGGTTCAGATAGTATGTCAGGTTTTATATTAAAAAGGAAGCCTAATAGAAAATAGATAAATTGAATTAGAAGGTGTTGGCGCCCGGTTAGGTTCGCTGCACAACACTTTTTTGCAATACATTCTGAGTTTTCCCGAACACCAAGATTAGGACTTGAATACTTCCCTTAATAGAATAAATTATACAACACCAATCATTGTTTTGTTTGCATTCACTGAAAGTTAAATTAACGAATTTAAACAAACTCCCCCAAAATGAATGTATTATGTCTGGAGTTATTTTATTTATATGCATAAAAGAATAGCAAAAAAGAAATTAAACGTACAAAAACATTGAAATATTTAAAATGTGTATACATTAGGTATGGATAACCTTTTTTCGTGTAGTTTTATTTTAAATGTGGAATATATATATGCGAAGCTTTATATTGATAATACACCTTCTAGAGGAGAGTTTCTTTTTGTTGCCATTGCTAATATATATACAAAATCAATTTAAGCCGGTAAATTGTTTTGTTTCGGCACCTTAGTCTGATTTCATACAGAGTAAAGAAATCTCGTTATCTCGTGAAAGCTTCTAGGACTTTAGCTGACTATTACTGAGACATTAATACAAGCTCCCTCTTTCGACTTCCAGCACTGAGTGAAGGTCATGGCGACTCTACCAGTAGAAAGGATTTCTTGTTGATTATCTGTAGATTTTTTCTGAGTTTCTCCCGAGAAGAGAGTTCTACAGAGCTATCTACATTATGATCACAATCAAGACATTTGTAAAATATAAGCAAAGAGCTTTTTATTTTTATGTTACGCCCTTTAAGATATCTGTATTGCAAGACGAAGTGTTTTATTGTTTACTTAACACTGATACACAAATACAGAAGATTGCCAGGTGATGGCTTTGTCAGAGGTAATAGCAGCATTCCTGGAGAATTGTGTACTGTATTTCCTTGAAATGTCCTTGGAGGGGTTTAAAACACACAGTGAAAAAAAAAATAAAATGGTAGACACAGTTATATATTATCTTATACTCTCTATACTTGATAAAAGATTAACTGTAACTTGGACTTCGAAGGATGCATCCATTACAAAAACACCATGCTAGTTTATTTATTTAGAAGGAAAAAAACTTTTTTCTTACCACAGAAAAGAATTTTATTTAATAAATGTTGTTTTGTGGTAATGAAAAGGGTAAAGTTAACGAAGAGTAATTGTTCTAAAACAAACAACAAAAATCCAAACAGACAATCCAAATCTTTATGTAGAGTTTCGAACAGTTATGAGTCAATAACCCAGGAATATTCTTTAAGTTGAATCATGTGCCTAGGGGGATAAAACATCTGCTTTTGACTTGTAGGCCTTCAATACGGACAACAAAGCAAGTAATGACACATCCTCATGTACAATTCAAAATGGTGCCATTTGCCTTAAGTTAGGTCCATTAAATCTTAATAAACGATTGATACAAATGAAAACTGCACGTTTGCCTCTACATTAATCAATTCATTAAAAAAATTTGAATTTTCAGTTTACTTCTTTTTTGCTTTTAGAACCCATTAATTAAAATAATAATAATAATCTACCCTAATTAAGCTCTAGTCAATTTGTTTTCTATCATTGTGAGAATCGCCACTTGCTTGTGGAGGGCTTCAAATTTAGACTTGGAAATTCATTTAGTTGTTGGGAAGTTGTAAGGAACGATAAGTTGCTGCTATGGACTTCAACAATTTCGTTTAAAGTCAGCATTTTGTTTATCATTGGGTCTTTTTGGGCTGACGTGTTTGATACTTAATGTTAGGCATTTGTTTAAAATTACACCCAGTTTAACTGTACAAAATATCCTTGATCAATTCGAAAGCCTCATGGCGGAATCAATTAGTCCTTAGGGGATGCTTACTCCTTTTAGGCACGTGAATCTACCTCTGGAATGTTCAAGGGGTCTGTGTCTTATGCCCTGAATACAGTTTAAGTTGCTTATAGATTGTTCAAGATCGACCTCTGCTCATTATCCTTTAACATTGGATTCAAACCCGCAACATAAGGATCAACTTATGTCTTTCACTTTTCCCTGATGGCCCGAAAACAAACAAATACGGCCTAATCATATCAACTTCCATAGTTCATTAATCACGTAAGAGAACAGTATGATATTGGAATAATCAGTCTAAGTGCACCTGCCTGGGGTTTGACTGATTGCCAATGTTACTATAAACATACTATATACATGTCAGATTGTTACTCTGCGATGGATTCAAACTAACAATGATGTAATTTTTCGTGATACAAATAGATATTACCAGTTTTCTTCTTTATAATTAAAGATGTTACTTCGAATTTACATTAAAATATGTGTTGGATACATATTTTCTGTACTTTCCTTTTATATTCAAAATCGCCAGTTGAAATTTAGAATTTTAAATATTTACAGAAACGACATCTGGAAAAAAAAAATCATTTTCCCTAATTCCATGCTTTTTGTCTTTTTACACTTTGTAGCTACGTGCATCAATACTTACTTCGTTTTAGTCTTATATTCATCGTATTTTGTATGTACATTCTAAACTTTGCTATTTTAGAACTCTGTATAGACTGATACTGAGAGAGTATGTCTGTCATACCGTATTTTCCCACATTTCAGAACTCTGTAAAGACTGTTTTTATGTACTTCTTAATTTGAATTTTTCTGTTCATTTAGTGATAATAATAATAATAATAATAATATCCTTTATTTATACAGGATTGCACAATTAGTTTACAACTAGTTTACATTGTGGTCCTGAAAACATATATACAGACAGATGATTATGTACAGAAACATAATGTCTGCTCTTGATATTTTGATTTGTTATTTTCTACAGACCGTTATTTGTATATACATATGCACTCCCATGACTATTCTGTTTCCATATTCTCTTAACATTGTTTTGTCAGTATTTTCATTATTTTTCTTTCTAATATTTTATTCTATAGCCTTATGTTAATGTATCTTGATTTTGCAATTTCGATATTTTTCTAAGACTGTCTCTACTGTGTGATAGTTTTGTCTGTCATTCGTGAGTTTGCTTTTTTTAAGTATTTCTCATAGACTGTTTGTCTACACTTGATTTTTATATATTTCAGTATTCACAATAGACTGTTCAGAATGTTAGTCCTAATTTCCCTTTTCAGTATTCTCTTTAGACAGGTCTATTTGTGCTTCATAATTTTGTTATTTTAGTATTATCTTCAGACTGTTACTTCTCTATTTTTTGATGTGGCTATTTCAGAATTCTCTACAGATGTTAAGTCTGTACTTCATGTACTTGTTTTTGCTTTTTCAGTATATCTATAGACTGTTATATCTATACTTCATTATTTTTGTGTTTTCAGTTTATCTATAAACTGTTATATCTATACTTCATTGTTTTTGCGTTTTCAGTTTATCTGTAGACTGTTATATCTATACTTCATTGGTTTTGCTTTTTCAGTATATTCCATAGACTGTTATGTCTGTACTTCCTTGAATGGCCAAAACAAGGCTTGCGATGACGAATTCAAAAAAGACCTAACCACCTCCCTCTTCATTAGCAGAACTTGTGTGTTCGAATTCTTCAAAGGCACTCACTGCATAAAGCTGAAAGGAAAAAGAAGTAAGCTATCTGTGCTATTTTTATTGGCATGCCTTATGTTCTTATTCCTCTTTTTTAAAAAATAAAATCCTGACACAAAATCATAATTGATATTTCATACTCTATACTGTCAAGTTTGAGATGCTACCAACTACCGATGGACATCTGCATATTAAGCCCTTCACTTGGCACACAGGGCCAATGAGCAGTAAGGAATCTTTATCGTGTCAGCACCTTTTGCGAGAACTTGTTTTCATCCAAAGGACCGGTCTCTACGTCCCGCATTGGGATTCGAACCCTCAACGTAAGGATCATCTACTTACTCCGCCACTCTTACCATTGCGCCTTCGATGGTCAAAAGGATTATGGAAGAAAATATCGAAAACAAAAAATATAATTTTTTAAAATGGATTTTCTAGAATTTATTTCAAGAGTGGACAAGAGTTATTGAAACTTTAAAGAATGCGGAGCATCCCAAATCCAACTTAATCATTGAATATCCTCTTTATATGCTTTAAGAATTGTTTTGGAAAGAATTCAAGGATCATTTCAATATCTAGATTAACAGGCCAAAATGCTTATGCACTCAGTGACCTTAAGGTTAGGATTCTTTTCGCTTGCTTTAGAAAAGTGTAACTTGATTTTTAACTGTATATCAATCAGAGTAGATATATTTTTGTTTAGGTTTGGTTTGTAAAAAGAAAATAGGATTTGTATAGCTCAACTAATACATTGAGACATCCTCATTTATTTTGAATAAAATTAGCACCCTTGATCAGCATGGTTTGGAGGAATTAATTCGTTAGATTCATGTAGTATAGAGTGTTCAATACCTACATGTACCTAAAGCTTTCTCTAAAACTTTACTGTTTACTTGAAGGTTGTTCAATTATTCATGGTTTCACCCAAAATAAGTTTCCTTTATAATATCTTTTGTATTATTTTCCAAGATTTTAAACCTACCAAAATAAGAAATAATGACAAAGTTATAAAGTATAGAAAAATTACGCTTTATTATATATATTACACATTTTATGCCGATCGTTATTGACGTTGCGAAATAATGACTTATTTTAGACTAAAAAGAACGTTTTTCTTGATGTAATGTTGGATTTCGTAACCAGCCCTGTTGTTGTTTTCTTTGTTCCTTGACAAACACGTACTCTAACCTGTATATTATCATAAAAGTCAACACAGAACAGACACGCGTAATTACATCACAATATTAAAAGGTGTCTTTTGTAGGTTTGCCCACGTGCTTCTCCGAAACATTAGAACTGCACGGAAAGAAACGCTAAAATATAAATCAAAGAAATATAAAATCAATGTCTTCTTTTATACCTCTGTCATTTTTGTTTTACAAACACATTGTGGATGAAGATATCATTGTGAAGAAATGTTTTATGACTTTCTTTCATCTTGCATATCTTATTGATTATTTGTTATCGTGCATGCAATTTGTTTGATAAGTACGTCAAGGTATTCCTTAGTTTTAAATTTTAAAAATTTAAGTCCTTGCGTCACCGGTATTGAATTATTTGAAATCAAAAGCGTTAATTAGTTCAAGGCTATTTCACCTACAGATTTCTGTGAAAAATTCGGACTAACATTGATAAAATATCTTGATAAAATTTTTAAAATGTATTATAATAATTCTGCCTAAAATTGATAAATTATATTGTTAAAATCTTTGATTTGTATTACAATGAAAAAAATTAATGGCAATCATTAAAAATAATTTTCAGTTATCTAGTATTGAAACATTAATTAATACCATTAGCCTTAATCATCATTTCTAACTAAAATATCTCTATATATTATTACGACTTCAGAATGTCAACTGTTTATTATACTGCCAATTGAAAAAGGGGATGGTATATACAAAGAAGGCGATCAGGATGTCTATACACCGGTCCGTCCGTCTGTTATACGCTTTTTGGTACCCATCTCCTTCTTATACTACTTAATGAAATTGGATGAGACTTTCAAAGAATCTGTGTTACATAGTGTCATTGTGCACCTCCTATTTCACTTTTTGATCGGACACATATTTTTGGTTTTCCGTAACAAAACGTGAAAGTTTGATACTTTTATTTTTAATATTGAAGGGTTCCCATCTCTTATCCGCATTTCCTCCAATACCACTGAATAATGTCATTATACTTTCACAGATTCTTTAGCACATAATGCTATTGTGCACTTCTTATTATAGTTTCTGATCTGACACTTTTTCCGGTCTCCAAGGTAAAAAAGTTTTTGCCATTGTAATCTTGTGGAAGATTTAGTGAGCTCAGTGCTCATGTGAACAGTACCTCTTGTTTAATACAGCTAATTATACATTTGTTCGATAAGTTTTAAATACTTATCTGTAAATTTCAAACTGTCCGGGATTCAATATATAATTATATTTTTTTAATGTATGATAGCATTCAAAATATGACTATATTTACTCTTTGAAATTAACATTAACAACAGATTAATGTGTGTGACAGACCAAATGAGAACGGAACAACAATTCAGCTAATTTAGTTTTGACATAAGACCAAAAATCAGGCGTTAATTGATTTATTTTTAATTCGAGAATTTTCACTCATATAGAGACGTCACCATATACCGGCGAAGGGCTTCAAATTTTGGCCTTTACTCGACACTCAGCTAGGGCCATTGAGCGGTGAAGGTTTTTAATCGTGCCAACGCCTGCTGTGACGCGGGTCCTCGGTTTTTTTAAAAGGTCTCATCCGAAGGACCCGTAACTTTCACTTCAAAGCATAGCTAAGGAACAGTTGTTACCCATTTTTTATCGACTTAGGTCAGTCGGGGCCGAGATTCGGACTTACGACCTCCCGATCACGGAGCTAGCGCTCTACCGACTGAACTACCGTGAACGGAAGCGGAAGCAGCGGATTATAATAAAATGAATCTAACATTTATTTTTAATATAATCTTTCTACCTTGATGCTTCTGTGGTCAGACTTTTGAAGTTCGCACTTTGTTCCACCTACATATGAAGTGTTTTTTAGAAATTTGGTTTATTGAAACTGCCGTAGCAACAATTCCTCAATTAGCTATTATAATAAACGAGCGGAAATTTCGTTTGGAACTTGCTTACACATGACACGTTTAATTTATTCTGCAAAAAAGAGTTGAACATAGGAAATCCTCCGCCAAAGATAAAAGAACTACTTTGTTCCTGCCGAAGTCCTATTTCCGTAACTCAATACTTAAATAAGTCCTGGATAAACGACAGAAAGCATTTACGTAGGAAATTGAATCGCTGGTACTTGGTATAAAATATTCTAAAAACATCACTCGAGGTGTAATTAAAATTTTTTTCTGGCAAAGAAGAACAGTATTCGTATGACGTCTATATAGTGAAAATTGCTAAAGAGAAAAAAAAAGCTTACATTTCGCCGAATCTTAATTTTAGATGAAAATATTTGTTTTAAATCGGTTATACACTGTACTTTTTAAAAATAACAATAATCTTTTTTAAAAAAAAAAAAAAAAATAATTATTATTAAAGATTTCAACTATTCCATTATATAAACTGTTTTGGGTTTAAAATATGATACCTTTGAGAAAAATTCTCAAACCAACTCTTGAAATATTTCTGCAATTTAATTTTTAAGCTATGTTAAATGTACACGCTGTTTTTCAGTTTAGATCTCCTGCTCTTAAATGCTTCTATATGATGCCCGCTGTTTTTCACATTACCTCTAATTAACAATCTTGATTCTGTTACTACCAACATAGTCTTCCTTTCAAAATTGTTTATCTAAATTTTGTGGGGGAAAATAAGAATAAGCAACGTCAGCTATTCCATCAAGACACAAATTGTATCATTAGTTTGCGCCGAGTGAGAAGTAAATCGATGAAGCCTAACGCTGATTAACCACGGAGGCCGCGAAGCACAGCGCCATTTTCAATATCGCTGATGTTTTAGAAAATGATTTTTTAAATCTTTGGATTTATCATATTGAAAAGTCTTATTCTACACTAAAAGATTTAAAACAATTTTCAATGAGTTTTTTTTTTCTTTAACGGAAACCCCATGCCTGCTGTTGTTCTGATTAGCAAAATTTTTAAAAATATGATGTTTTTTTTGGGGGGGGGGGGGCATTATGATTTTTAAATTAAAAAAAAATAAACAACCAAATACAATGTATAAACAAAGTAATTTTACATATATTTTTAAATCAAAGTATTATAACTTGTAGGAGATGTATTTATTCAAATGTGGATACAGTATATCTAATCAAGAGTCCCTTCTAAATGAATACAATTTTATTCCATGGGATACAGGGTTTGCTCCTATAAAATTTATACATTCATATTTGTCCAATTGACAATAAAATATAGAAGAGCGACTGCAGTTAATTTACTTGCGGTCTAGTTGGTTGAACATTATGCATTGCTTCTGAGTTAAGAATAGCTCCGATTTCTGATAGCACATTTAGGGAAGAAGCGTATAAAAAAGACCCTTTGGCATGTACTCATCAGAAGTATTCGATATTATAATGGTCTTGCCCGATAAAAAATCAATAAAAGTGCAGTACTGATTTTACTTCATATTCACTATATTTTAACTTATTATCATTTTTAATTAGATTCAATAGTGTTAATTTGATATAAAATAAAATTAAGGGAGACAAGAGGTTCGACAGTATAATAAAATATGCTGTTGTAGATTGAAAAAAAAATCACGATGTAAACGATTTTTTTAATTTCCAAATTAATGCCAGTTTTTCACGAAACAAGATGAAAGCTGAAGCTTTAAACAGCACAAACTTGTTATCTCACAGAAAGATGTCAAAGAAAAATAGTACACTTTGTTACAAACTTCTTTAACAAAATATCAGCACAAACAAACGTTTCAATAATTAATACTATAGAGAACTTCAATATAAGTTACGTTTAACAAGCTTTAATGATTTATGAAGACTTACTTTGAAGTGAAAGTTAATCGTTCACAAAATTCATATTTATTGATTTTTTCCGTTGCCTTAACACGAAGCTGAAATTACCAAGTTACGGAATACTGTCACCAGCTTGAGGACATATTGCGGATCCTTATCGGCGATACCGGGCCATCGATATAAAATACTTCAAAACGCAATTATCAGGGGAGAAGACTGCCTGGAGAGACCGGAATTAATTAAATAATACACGAATTATTACACCTAAGGCACCGGGGAAGCGGGAACTACAAATTCATTGCCAAAAGTGCTTCTCTCTTAATCATTTTCGAACTAATCCACATGACGCTAATTAAGATTCATTATTGATATAAAAAATATATTAAGATGAATAAGGAGGAGAATGCCCCTACTTTTGTCAGGATTCTGGACAGCCCTGCAAAATTATTCTTGTTCAACATTGTGGGCAAAATGTATCTATTTCAATATAATGCTTGAATCTTCACTATGCATATTTAAACAAAATCTTATTTTAATCTTGTGATTTATAGAAATCAACTCACCAAGCATCACTAAATAGTGTCTTTTTCTTTCTTATTTCCACTACTGCTTAAAGGATTATGGACACAGTTTCAACTGAATTTTTTAAACCAGTTTTAATGCATACAATTCCTAACTAAGGCATCATCTTATGATCAGCAAAAAACAAGTTACAGAACTAAGTTTTTCATAATGTAAACAAGGCGCTCGTGCTTTGTTTTTGTTTACATATAGAAAATATCATATTTATAACAAAATGAAATTCAGCAAATCACTAGAAACTGTCTAATTGTATTTTGAATTAATTTCTTTATTGAAATTATCTATTTTGAACGAACAAATATAAGTATATTTATCTATGTAAAAAAACATAGCACGGACCCTGTTTACATAACAAAGGTTTTGAGCCTCAAATCTGTTTTGTATCTCGACAACTGAAGTTCACAATTTTGATAATCATTAGAAAGACCTTAGTTAAATATTTGTAAAAATCAAAAAATAAATTTGGACATTTTTAACTGAAACTGTCTATGCCCCTTTAATGCCAAAATGTGAAGTACCTTTGATATGATAAAAAAAAAATAATGTAGTGTTATTTGAGTGGAAGATATAGACTTATTTTATTTGCAATTTCCCTGAGTTGTTTAGAAATTCTTTAATTTGTTCTTGCGAAGATGTATTTGGATAAGAGTAATTTCAATCTCAAATTTACTAAATTATTCGTACAATGTATGTATGTAATAAAATTGCCATGTCCTTATAATGAAACATTTGTTTTAGAGCTTCAGTTTTCACTATATGGACGATGCAAGATTCCAAACTTACCCTTATAATTATATACATGTAGAGTTTACAAACAGAATTGTTTAAAATTGGTATAATTCATAGATATAAATCACTATGCTGTACCTTTTCAGGTGATGGTTCCAGTATCGTCGTGAGACAGTGTGGCGACTATGACTGGGGAAGCCATTGCGGGGATATCTTGTATGACTCGGGGGATGGTCGTGGGGAGGAACTAGTGGACGGATGCCTGGAATCATGTAACCATGATGGCTGTAACGCAGCCAACCATAGTAGCCAATGGACCATGACTGTGTATATTATTACTTTTATAACAATGCGTGTTTTCTCTCACATTTCATGTTAGCACCAAGTGCACCATTACTAAACAGAGTTTCAAACTGTGTCTATGTATGGCACGCCAAATTAACAAAAATGAGCAAATCATAGTTTCACAATCGATAAACAAGGTTTATCGGTTGTAAACTATAGTTTACGGACTGTAAACTGTAGTTAACAACGTTAATCTATATTTTACATCTGTAAACTATAGTTAACGCGATAATCTATGTTTCACAACCGTAAACTATACTTAACACCGAAAACTATCATTTGCGATTGCAAAACATAGATTATCTGATAAATACAGTTTCACGATTTGTAAACTATAGTTTACAAACCGTTAACTATAGTTAACGACCTGATAAATATAGTTTCACGATTTGTGAAACTATGATTAACAAATCTTGACTATAGTTTACGATTGTAAACTATAGTTTACAAACGTGAATATATGTTTATCAACAAAATCTATTGTTAACGCTTATTACAGACAGAAAAACTTAGATTAGCATTCGTAAACTATAGTTAACAACCGTTAAACATAGTTTTACAGATGAAAACTATACTTAACAAATCGTTAACTATAGTTTACGGTTTGTAAATTATAGTTTACAGTCGATAAACCTAGTTTATCAATTGTGAAACTAGGTTTATCTCATTTTTGTGAATTTGGCGTGCCATATCTATGTGATCATATCAAATATCTACAATATCCAACAATTTCATAGTTTAAACAATTTCCAGTGACGTTTTTCTTGTACAAGTAAATTTAAACCCTGCAACTGGTAGTTTATATTAAGAGAAATTTTTACAAAAAGAAACAAATTTAAAGAGAGTATTCTAAATATATAAATATTCACTTAAAGGGTAACAAGGGGGCACTTTAATGAATTTATATTATTTTTATTAAGCATATCAAAACAATTTTTACAATATCAGCATCATTTATGTTTTTTGCACTTCAATAGATCTATCGTGTGAATATTTATTCATCATCATTTTACAAAGATTTGTGTATTTTTCATATTATTTGACGAAAACATTTTGATGTGTTTCTTTTATCATATTGAATTTGTGAGATATATTGTTATATATGAATATCATTATAAACATTTTTAAATATTAAAAATTTTTAAGCATATACATGTTGATTTACGACAAACTACGACGATTCAGTTGAGTGAGTTTAACCCACGAATCTAATTATTAATCTTAAAGCGGACTCAAATCAATTTTATTCATTATTACTGGTCTATTCCTATGCATAGTAACAATCAAGTTAAAAACCGTAGTAACTTAAACAACAAAGACGTATATGATATATGTCGAATGTTCACAAAGCGATCAAGAAAATTGATGTTTGCAGTATACACACTTACATGTCTTGCCATTATAGCACTCAATAAACAATTAATACTCAACTTCCGTGTGTTTATTTATTGTTTGTGTGTGATTTATACCTTCAGTTGACAAGTACATTGTATGTTGTTTAACGTCTTATTCGAGGATTTTTTACTCATTTAAAGAAATCACAATACACCGGTGAAGAGGTTTAGATTTAGACCATTATTCTGCACCTAGAGGCATTGAGCAGCTGCAGTGAGCTCAATGGATTCTTAAACGTGCCAACACATGTCTTGACACATGCCTTCGGTCCTTAAGTTCTCATCCGAAGGACCCACTACGTTCACTTCAAAATGAGAAGCACTTGGCGAAGGGACATTTCCTACATTTTTTAAAATCCAGTTTGGTCAGTCGCGGTGTCAGGATTCGAACCGACGACCTTAAGATCAGAGAGCTAGCTCTGTATTAGTGACGGTAATATTAGAAAAAAATGGCTTTGATTCCTAATCTGGAAATCGAACGTATACTCTAGACCCCTTTTCAAACAATCAAAATCTTCATAATCGTTTTCTTTTAACAAAAGGGATGAGAATTTGATTAATCGTATCTACGTACAATTCCTAAACGTCACGAAATACTATAGAAAGAAGCACTGGGTCTAGCATATATTCTGTTAACCTTTTTATCTCACCAACTTAGAAAATATTAACCGCTGTGCAGAAGCTTCAGATGTTTTCTGTATCAACAGATTTACATACCGGTATTTACATCATTGATAATGAAAAAAATCAATAATTATTTTGAAAATTTGAAAACACTTATTCAAAGCATAAACAGCATCAAAACAAATGACGTCAGTACTATGTACACTTTACAGTTTACCTCGTGATAAAGGAAAGACCAAGGTTTATTTTTAGATATCATAGACAACTGCTTCTTCAACAGAAAATAAAACTCAGATATTGATTGAATATCTACAAATTACTTTGTTAAAGAAATAATCTACAGTCATGGCCTTCAATTTGACACTATGCTACGACCGTGCTAAGCATATCGACAATATTTATAAATTTAAAAAAAATACTTTGATTCATATTCTCTATACTGAAATGCACTCTAAATAAAGGGGACCACAGTTTCTGCTAAATATTGTTTACAGTAATTTATTCGATTAAATTACTAACTATAGTCCTTAATGTCAATCTGAAAGCTATAGCCTAATGACAGATGGGATAGCTTCAGCATTTCCATTGTATAATTTCCTTACATATGCATGCCTATTCTAATTTACATTGAAAGTGGTTTATATTCAATTTGAAAGATCAATATTTAAAGCCAGAAGGACTACTTAAAAAAGTCATGTCGATGGACGTTTTGGAACCTCTTTCGAAATAAACGTAGGGCATTTTGGAAATACAACCTTTCATTAAGACATTTTTAACTGAACTGGTTTCCATCGAATGTTTGGACTTTGCATACGAAGTTTATATCTCTCAGCTGATACTATACGCAAGAGCATCTATACGTCTGTATTATTTCTAAAACGAGGTAAATTAATTACAATCAAGTTTATGAAACAAGAATATCAGCAGTCTCGTTTTAAGACATCATTTCGTAAGTTCTATGGTCGAAACAATGACCTCAGCAGATACAATGTATCAGTGAGTCAAAAGCTGACTGACGTTTTTCATGCTAATTTTTAGTCCATTATTTACACACTAAATTAACGACGGATTTTCCGTCATTTATCGATTATGACAAGGAACACATGGCGTGAGTGACCGTTCGGCAGGCGATTCACTATGGCACCTGATCCCTCCTGTGATGTTTTGGAGGTCTGTGTTTGCTCTGCTCCTATTTTGTATTGTTTTATGAACTTTTGAGCTTGAATACTGTTCGTTATCTTTTACCTAGGATTCGCTTTGTTCATCTGATCAGCAAGCATCTTTACTTTTCGACTTGACTGACAACTGAAACTCCAATATGCATGAAATGAATACCACCTCTCTCTGAATCTTTAACACCATTTAGAAACTGAATAATTTGGTGGACTAATATTGCCTCTCTTTGACCTCTATATCATTTCGAAATTGATTTTTCAAAAGTTGATTTTTAGTTTGAAGCAATGAAAATTAATACAATCCATATAATAATAAAACCCCATTCCTCATTTGAAAAAAAAAAAACCATGTATTATCATTAAGTTAAAAAGCACAAATGAATTATGATAAGAACTCGAAGAATTATGATATAATCCAAGTTGAAATGCCTCACTAAAGATAATCTGATTAACTGTGGTTGATGATTGATTATGGTCGGGTTATTGCTAGATGTTTTATAACAAAGAAAGCATATAATTTGATTGTTGCGCATGAATTTTTAAAGAACGTATCTCAAAAATCGTTTAGCTGGTGTCGAATATTATTTTTATGCAAATAGTAAATATCGGAAAAATGGTCAAAAAAAGGCAAAGCGATTAAACATTATATTACTTGCTTCTGTGTCGGCTTCAAGGATTGATAATATCCTGAAGGTACTGATTTGGATCTGCAGGTTTGATATGGATATCCATATCGCATTTCTTGTATATCAAGTCAAATTCTTTTTATATCAATTGTAAGAATATTATTTACATGGTTAATTTTCGATCATGACTAAGAACCGGTGGTGGGGATGGCGGGCGGGGGAGAGAATATAATGCCTGCTCCCCGCACAGATCTCACCCCCTGTCAAGTTTAATGCTAACGCCGAAGGTAACATTACGGATTTTTAAATGCGTCTTAACGTACCAATCAGATTTTTGTATTTAGCATGAAAGTGTAATAATAATGGTATATAGCCCATTTATCAGGAAAACAGACGATTGCATCATCATATTTATCATAAAATATCACATAATATGGAGAAAGATATTATTGCGGAAAGATTTCTACTGCAAATTCTTTCTTTTAAAATAATACTTTTTAATAATACAACGATTTCAATATAATGTACATTTGTTATATTAATTTCAAATGTTATAACGAATATAGGACACATGCACTTGTTTCGGAAATAAATATCTAACCCGTAGTATGATAATAAAACAAGATATCTAACTCCGAATTACATGGAATACCCCCCGCCCCTTCCGCAGAATCGCATTCATTTACACTTTAAGAGGAAATGCACTTGCAAACTGTTTATTGCCATTGTCTTCTGCGAAAATTTTCTACAAAACCATATATGGCAAGCATGTCTTTGTTTTCTTATATCTCCGTGAACAGCGTCAAAAATTTGCTCGCTTAGTGGAAAAGTCGAACTCAACCATGAAACGGAATGTGCTAACCTCGACAAAGAGCAAAATTTTAAAATACGTGGGTTAAAAAAATTGAATTTCAGATTTGAAATATAGCATTGAATATATAAAATTTGATTATTATTCATTTTCAATAAAATCATTACATTTTTTCGCTGTAATTTCAGAAACAGATTTTTAGGCAATCAAAATCTCTGTGAGGGATTAGTGCATACCGTTTTATGGTTGAGTTCGACTTTTCCACTCGGCGAGCAGACTTTTGACGCTGTTTACGGAAAAATCCGTTGTCAATTCAGTGTATAAATAATGGACTAATAATTAGTATGAAAAACGTCAGTCAGCATTTGACTCAATGAAGGAGTTCCTACATATGTCAAGATTTTATTTTTGTGGATGAAAAGAAACGGGTAGCCAATGAAGATC